ATTTTAGTCTAATAATACAATTGTAAAATAGTTTCCAAGGTATTCTTGAATTTCACATGTTCCACAATGATTGTATTATAGCTTTGTGAGTAAATCTTTGTGTGTAACTCTTCATCTTGCGGAATACATATATGTTGCTTGTAAAACGTCAAAATCTCTATTCTTCTCTACTCTTCTTACTTGTAGTGCTTTCATGATTCCTTCATACTACTTTATCTCATGTGTAATCTTGATCCATCAATCCACCCGAATCTTCATTTGTGTAACATGATTAAAACATGACATGCATATAAGAGCATTTACAAGTTCTTTTTTACCCTCCATATACACAATCTTCATATTGAATCGCTGACGGCATTCTGCACATCAAATTTGTCGTTTAAACATATACTTTTGAATTTCAAAAGAAATCAATTGTTTATGATCGTTCTTCATCACAAATTATTTATCATCAAAGTGTTGCTTCTAGTGTTTTGTTTCCAACACAATAGCTAATTTTTCTTGTTCCGTTGTGTAGTAATTATGTTTCACTGTCATCAATTTGCAAAAAAATAAAAATTATATGTCATTCTAGTTGAATTATGTCATCCATTGTTGTATCTAACTCATCAATTATTAATTTGATAGATCAATTGTAATCATATCACTTGAGAATAGATGTTGTAAGATCGGTTATTACATATGTGAAGAAGAAGTAAAACTAATCAAACTAATAATCACGATTAGATTGTTTATGACTAAATCTAACTAATTAGAACTAAGTTTTACTATGATGTCCATACTTGACAGAATGATTTAGATAATTCTAGAAGATTCAAGTAAGCTTTACTTTTTTATTTTCTATTGAAGTCTAGATTCCAAGAAGAGAAGATTGTAAGCCTATTGTTTTTTAGATAGAAAAAACCTAGTAGATGATTTGTTTTTTTGCAAAGAGAAGCTATTATAATGACATAGAATAGGACAATGGAATGTGTAAGTAATGAATGGTAAGTTAAGTTAGTGCTATATAGTGAAGACATGGCAGTTAATAGCTGAAAACAATAACAAATAGAAGTCAATTAGGAAACTGAAGGCTATGAGAAGTCAATGAAACTGCCTTGAAGGAGTCCGTGGATAGACTTTTGTTAGGAAGTCCACAAATGGAGAAAGTTGATACTCCCTATCGGCCGATATGAGTTTGGAGGAAGTCGAACCTCACTAGCCGAAGAGCAAGGCGCGGAGGAAGAAAGTCCTTCACGGCCGAGGCAAGGCAAATTTCCTGCAAGAAGCCGGTAGCATGACCCAATCTCACAGCTGAGGAAGGCTGAAGAAACTCCCAAGTGAAAATCTAGACTAGTTGGGATCAATACCTTGCCAATTCTAATCATTTTGCCGTAGGTTTTGTGAAAGTTTTCTAGTTGATTTTGACCTACCTTTTACAAAGATCTTTTGCAGGGATTGTATACTTTGGCTATCATTTGGAGGATATTCCATTGTCACTTAAGGGTCTACTCTTTCCACTTTAGGAAGTAAATGAAGGGGCACTTTGTAGCCTTTACTCCCCAATTTAATTAAACATGGAGAAACAAGTGATAATGCTACACTTTCTCATTTTTAGCCTAGCTTTATAAGAGATGCAGGCTCAATCAAAGTTTACACAAGGTAAACCTAGCTTTAAAAGGAGAAAAGGGAAAGTACAAAGAGCATTAAAGGAAATGTTTGAGCCTGGAGAAGTATAAAAGTGACTTGGTGGCAACTATTGAGAAATCAATTGATCTCGTGGATGCTATAGGACTACTAGAAGTAATTATTTGTTGATGTTGTAGTAAAAGTAACTTGATCAACATTCAATAGCACTTTGAAAGGACTATCAAGGATGAGGAAAGATTTAGCCATCTTGAAAATATGAATACGTATCATATTCATATACTTTTTTCTAAAATCATGTACTTCTTGTGAAATACATAGGGTAGAGAGATGGTAGATCTTCATGTGTGATTACAATATTATTGAGATTTTGAGTTGAATGAAAGTGTTACTATTCCACACTTGAGAAATTTTATAGAATTCTTTTGCAATATTTGTAAGAAAAAGTTGATCAAAGACCATTGACCAAGAGAGAAAAAAGATTGGAAATCCATCATTTTGGAGAGTCAAGTTATCAAGTGGAGTTGTCACTTGCATGAACTAGCAAGTGAACCTTGAATCAAAGAGTAAACAAGTGGCAAGTTACTATATTAATGTGATAGTAAGACAATAGAACAAATGTCTTATCAGTAGTGAGTAGCCAAAGATATCTTTTAGTTTGTAAGTAGTGTTTTGGCTTTTACTGTTGAATGGATTGACTTTGTGTGGATGACAAGACACTGATAATTATATAGCTAATAGCTTGGAGTGTAAAAGCATTTGTTCTCTAATGAAAATTTATTACTTTCAATTGTGAAGTAGTTCAAGATATCTTTTTTCATTTCAAGGAGAAGTAGTTAATAGTACAATAGCCAACAACTACTTTTTATCTTACTTACTCTTAGACTTTTCTTGTGATACAACCATGAAATATAGATTAGAATGTTGTGAGATTGAGCTGATGTTTGAAAGCATATAGAATCACTAATATGTAGAATAGTCATTAGTTTTATAGAAGAGACCTACTTTGTACATGCTTTGTATATCAAACATCCATCTATCTACTTGAAGCTTTTTTTGCAAATGTTTAGTTCAATTGGAAGTTTGATTGATCTAGGTGGGAGATGTAAAACTCTATGGACATCTTGGTGACAACAAGGAGTTAACTCACTTGATTGGAGAAATTGTAGATTGAGGTGACACCATTCGTAAGTTAGATTTGACTTTCTTCCAACGAAATCAAATAATCTACTGTATGTTTCCAAAAAAATAGTCATAGCATATAAGAGCTTTTTTTAATCTCAAGTGGCACATTTCTTGTAGAACCAGCTACATAATGAGATGATAGACAATAATTAAATTGTGATTGGTGCTAAATTTTAAGATAAAACTTTAAAAAAAATTTTGACTAGATGCTAATTTGATTGGTTTGACTAGGTAATGAAAATTTCATTGGTTAGATCAACTCTAAGATTAACATAGTGACAAGTGAATATTTTACAACTTTAAAAGTCTCAAATGCAAAATTGTCACCTTATACTATGGACTGAAAAGCTTCTAGAAAATTTAAATATGTCAATTGCATGTTGTCACGTAATGAGAATTAGTAAAACATACCTAGACTTATCTTAACAAAAGTAATTTACTCGATAGTAAAAAATTTTTCTATAGTCATTTCTCAAGTAATACAAATAAGAATATCAAAGAATAGTTTCTTTGAAAAAGAATTCTTCAAGTTTTGAAGAGTTCATTCTGTGACGATTTATTTCATCAATATAAATTTGAATTCCGTCATCATTTTTGGAGTATTGATGAGTGATTGTAATTGAGTTATGAGTTTGAATGAGAATGTGTTTAAACAAGCAAATTGAATAAATCTAGTTTTATAGAATCATGATGAGCTACCAAAAAGACATCGAAGGTAAATATGAGTGAGAGTCAACTTGGAGGTCACAATGCATGTAACAAAACATCTTTCACAAACTGAAAAACTAACTCTTTAATTATTTCCATCTCCATTTTTTATCTTTGCCTAGTATAAATGTCAAAGTTTTAGTTAAACAAGCAACATTTTTCACAAATCTACAACAAAAATTTGTGAATTTTTAAGATTCATTAAATTAAGTTTGATTCTCAAGTGTTGTTCAATTCTTTTAAAAAAATTCTTAGATTCATTTTTTTGTAATTTTATGATCCAAGTATTTACTTCTAACTTGTCAAATTCACATTTTGAATTTTAACACATAATATATTTTCTCTCAAAATTTGATATCTTTTGTAAAAGATAACTAAGATCATTCTCGGTTTTGTTATTTTTCAATATATTATCTAAAACACAATAATATAACTATCTAAATAGTATAAAAATAATATCGTTTATTAATTTTATAAATGTAACATATGTATCAGTGAGATCAAAAAACATCATTAGATATTCAAAATAATTATACCTAATAGTAAAAGCAATCTTGTGCATATCTTCATACGTAATTCAAATCTGGTTGTGATAATCCTTTGGATCCAATATATTGAAATATTTTGTCTAATAAAATTTATAAGACAAATCATCCATAAGAGTTAATGGATTTTTTTTCATTATTTGTTTGTTCAATTCTCAACCCTTGATTATTAATTCAAAAAATTAATAATCAAGTCCATGAAAAAAAAATATTGTTTAATTCTTATGAATAATTTGTTAGATAATATGTTTATAAATTTTTCAAGTCATAAATATTTATTGTTTAATATTTGACTCTACTATGTGAATATGATTTGATTCTTGTTGAACATGAATATCTAATATTGAAATTTCAATTTTCATTTCATTTTTATATTCTATGATTTGTATGGAATTTTATTATCATTTTTTTTAACTCTTTCATCTCATTCAAATCAATATTTAATACTTTATTCATATTTAATAATGTGGATAATTTTCTTCATTTATTCTAATATAAAATAAATGTAATTACTATCAAATCTTTCTCCACATTGCATTGTCTGCCCATTCTATTCTCTGAAATCCAACGAGCTCTCGTTCATATCGGCCTCGTGCTAGATCTGCTCGTCTCCAGACACTAGAGAACAATTGTCTTCTGCGGCAGTTTCCTGATTCGGCGTTTCGAACTCCAATGACAACCCCAAGGATCCATGCGCACAACCTTCGCATATCGACTTGTAGAAGACTTCTGCTATGGCTGCTTGCAGGTGCGGACGACTTCAAACGGTGACTTCGTCATCCACCGATCTAGTCTTGGGAGGAAAATATGAGTATGCATATTTAAGATTCAGGATCTTAGACTTCCCAAGCAAGTTATGGTTATGTGAATTTCAACCTATCAAAATTTCTTCTGCTCCAGCTCTAGATTTTTAAAGAGGCAAACTCCACTGTTTAAATTGATACGAACTCTATACAGTCTCGAGCTCTTTTCATCGCACTGCTGGATGTACCAAGAGCGAATCAAATGCACGGCGCCAAATCCTCTTTGTTGCTGAAGCTGCCGCAGTCAGTGCCTTGCTTGCTCGAGTTAATTCTAAAGTTTATAAGTTTTATGGGAAGCAAGTTGTTATGGCGGAAAACTGAAAGGCTGTGCCGATTACAAACCTTCAGCTCACGTGCTTTGGCCAGGAGATGGTAGTGGTGGTTGTAATACCTTGTCATGATCTTTGTATCTTTAAGAACTGCTCCACAAGATTCAAGTGTCACCATAATATACAGAATGATGCCACGGATGTATCAACCAGAGTCCAATCTGTCTTTAAAGAAAAGATCATATTACTAGGAGGAGGTTGAGCAGGCAGTGCAGCCTACACTATCAGCGACTTACTACCCTGTTGGTTGTGCACTCTGGTCACTGTGAGAGTGTGAACTGAGGGAAAAGCAAGAAGTAAGTTCCAGTGGGATTGAACCACTGACTGCCTCTGTCACTATTTTAATCACATTAGGCGAACTTCAGAAAAACTGAAGTTGGAATTGTGAAGATGGAATATACGATACACACAGTGCTCTGCTCTGAACTGAATCTTTGCAAGAGCTTCTGAATTTTATCGACTTGTCCATCACCACCAGCATTACCGATTTCTTTCAAAGCTCGATCACTTACTTCGCTTCGACGAAGTAAGACAGGCCCAAGCTTTCAAGGTACCGATTACTACTAATCCACACGTATTGTACACATCAAACTAAACCCTTGTACCCTCATGGTTCTATTACACGGCCGTCTCCATTTGTATGTCTGGTTAAGAACTCCTGCAGATTGTTCGTCCTCCATGTCTACGGATACGGAAACGAAAGCTGTCAGTTCCTCGAAGCAGAAGGAAAGTCCAGTGTCGAGCAGTAGGACCAGTCAATATTACTTTCATCTCTCGTCCGTTTCCAAATCTTACTGGACCATATAATGAATGGATAAATGCAACAACCTCTTTCGAATTTAGCAAGACAGAGAAGGCAAGACTGTTCTACTCTTCAGGCAGAAAGCTACACCAGCAAACCCGATCCAGCTGCAGATCTGCTCACGTGCAGAAACAAAGGCCTTCGATCTCTTTACCATCATGTCGAAATGAAAGGTCTGAGAAGAAGAGGAAAAGCGAGGAATGTACCTCATAATCCCAATCCCCGTAGAGACTTTTATCCTCGGCGTCGGCCCACACGTACAGGTACGCTTGCACAGGTACTGCGATAGAAATGTTCAAATCGTCCGTGACTTTGTCCTGCAGAACGAATACAACTGATCACTGTGAAATACTGTGACCTTTTAATTCTTTACACTACTAGTTTCCTACTGTTATCAAAGTCAAATCGATGATCTAATCACATGAAAAGTAAGGGTTCATTACTCTCCTCCAGTTGATTGTTATGGTACCCTCTCAGATTCAAGTCTATTCACAGAAGGCAATTTGTGTGCGCTTCTTGCCTGGACGGTGGTCTCGACCAAGTGTCTCGTATACTCGAAATCCTCGAACTCGTCGAGCAACTTAAGTTCTTCGTGAGTTAAGTCGAAGAGTACCTGCTCATCAGGTGGACAATGTCCATGTCAGTTAGTCACAAAGCTTGTGTTCTGGTCCTGAACATGCTGATAGGCATGAACACATTTTAACGCAGCCAGTTATCAGATGCAACACTCGAAGATGTGACCTCCTTCCGACTCACTAAGAATGGAACTAATTACGCAAGAGGACGAGCTGGTCTGGCTAACCTTGCCTGTAACGTTGCCGCCAGCGAGAGGAAGAACTGCTGGATAGAGACGGTTCCGTATGCTGTACCGATGACTGCCAGAAAGAAATGAAACGGAGATTAGAAACCTGCAAAGATTTGCGAGGACTCGTTACGAAATGCGTGGAGAGGGATTTCTGTTCGCTTTGCACTTTTGAGGAGGGACATTTCATTAAATTGGTTCAGACGAGAAGAACGCCTAAAGTGTTCGAGTCGAGAGACTAGCGCCAAGATAATCGCCACAATGCAATTAGGGTCACAAGGTCGTTCCGAAAGCTTTTGCTTACTGGAGTTTCCCAGTCCAGATGAATCTCATTCCCATCTGTATCAAACATCTACAGCTCGAATTAATTCACTGAAAGGCACCGAATCAAGCTTGTTTTCAGCTCGATCGCTTCTTCGGTTGCGCATGTTTAATTACCTGATTGGTGTGATTAATCCCACAGTACATAATCCCTAAACAGATACTGCAGACCGTGCCGTGAATAGCACTGAAAGGTGAGGTAACTTACAAATTAGCAACAACAGCTGTAGCTTGGGGAGGGACGCGATGTATTATTGCTGCCAGAACCTCCGGTGCCATTAAGGAGCCATAGACAAAGACGTTCCGCACAGCTGCTGCTGCTGCTGCTCCGGCCATTCTTACTTCGCTCGACCAATTCCTTCCTCCCCTTCCCCCTTCCTTGCTTGTGATACGACACTCGCTGGGCACGAGGGTGAAAGTCTAGCTTCACACCATTCTACTGTCAGCGAATTCAATCCATGTACCACCGACCTGGAAGCTTGGCTATCCTCTCGATGCTTTAAGCGATTTCTGCCCTCAGGTTAGTGAGTACTTTATGGATATCGAGAAGGAATCTTCGCTCTTGCTTGCGTCGGTTCAAAATGCGGGCAGTCAATTTCACAATTCACTGTCATGAGAAAGCAAGCGAGCAATTTCGCTACAGCAGACGAGATGCCCTAAAGAGAGATCGATCGTTAGCGCCACTGTCAGCTAGCGACCGATTGACGTTATCACGACCTCCGGCTCTAACTGTTGACCTGCTGGCTCTGTCTTGTCTGTGAGAGAAAGTTGAGAACCATCCATCTCAAATTCAACACTGAGACTGAATGCTCATCCATCCTCTGTAATTGCATTACTTCATGCTTTCACTCCCACTCTCAGGGCCACTGTTGGTCATGCTGGACGTGCGGTCGGTGTTCCGTTTCTTTACGTGTGGAGGTTTTCTTGGACTAGTTTTCAAGCAGTTGTTCGAAGAACTTCAAGAATCGCCCAGCCAGTATACGGGAAGGCATAGTGTCCCCTCGAGGACCTGTGACATCGAGGGCGCCATTACACTCAGGGCAGTATATCTTCGACCCCCCAGATATCAGCAGGATTTTGTTGTCACAAGGTCTCAGATAATATGTGTTCTCTGAGGACCGCAGACGTCAAATCATGGGCTTTGATCGAGAGCTTGTCGAGTTCTCATTTTCAACGATTGGAAAAACTCGTTATTCCGATTAGATTTGAAGCACCCGGTGAGTGCAGTGACTATCTGATCGATCAGACCACGTGAATATAAGATAATGAAGGCCGATTGCTAACAGCTTAACTCGATGGACACTGCATACTGCTGACCTGTCCATACACCGGGAGAGATTACGTATCCTGAAGTTCTGTGCAGAGAGCAAATGCTAGTTGGAGAGACATTAATTACATCCAGTAAACCGCTATGAGGCAATGCACCCTTTTGCAAATGTGCAGCCATTTTACAAGTTTGTGGAGCGTGAGAAGGTGAGGACTGACACAGGAGCTTCTCCGTCCAGACGACTAATCGGCGTACTGATTAATGCTGAAGACAAGAAGGGAGAAGACGTTCTGTTCATTAAAATTCTCGTTGATAAGTTAGTGAAAGTGAATGACAAAGATGTATTGAATTTACGGAGAGATGTAATACATACCAACCTGTGAACTTAGCAAAGATGCAGTGTCAAAATCTTCATGACTCATTTCTGTTACTTAGGACTACTGTATCTACATTCATTCATGATCAATACTAATCTCTGCGTCCATGTCACAAGACTCACGTTCCAACCTCAAAAACGGCTGTCTTTGAGAGGGTCACAGTAGCTGTGATATTCAAGTCGATGTCCTCACGTGCAGTACAGGCGAAATGATCAATTTCATCCGTCATCATTCATGAGCAGCTTACTTACGCCGACCCAGCTTCCGCACCACTGTCGCAAGTAAGTTGCGCCTTTACTTCCGAACACTTTATCACAGCAACCTCGTGACAAGCCTGTGCCAGGGGATGACTTGCACTCCGAGGTAGTTGAGCTCCGTACAGGCTGAACACCCTCCAGTCCGCAAACCAAACGTGAGTTTTCAACTCACGTGTTCAGTTCTCATGTGTGTCGTGTGACTTCATCCCTAGAATTCTTCAATATGATGATAGACCGGGAACGTGTTTAAATTTCATTGGATGTAGTTTCCTGCGGTTTAGGTACGAATGTGGTTTCTATATTATCTTCGGACAAATGCTGGGTGACCACATACAAGCAACTTCACTTCAATCCCAGGAAACATCAAGCCCACACTGACACAAATATGCCACAAAACAACAACGAAATCCGCGATTCCGTAGCCGCCTCAACACCCTTATTCACAAAAATCGAGATTGGCTACTGGCGGAAAGGCCAAGGAGTTTGTCATCTTTGACCGATGAGATTTTGGTCGGGTGTACCGGGCATGCAAGACACGCTCTCAAGAACATGAGGCGATGACGGTTTACTGCGTCTGCCTCCTAAACCTTCCTATCGTCATGTGACCACTGCCTTATGACCTGACGAAGCGGAAAGCCACATTGGTGGCGGAATTGGCGAGACAAAGAAGGTGATACGCTGCAGACTCGAATGCGCGTCAGTAAGTAAGACTGGACTACGTTGTGACAAGGACCTCCGCTTCCACTAAGATGTACAGACGAAAACCTGTGATGGGTAGAATCACAGGACCCTAAACTCTAACTGAAAGGACAACAAAACTGGCTCATTGGAGGACTTGCTCTGTGTCTGGTTCGTACATTTGTCAACTCTCTCTTGCAACAAAACCTCAATACGGTATTCTACAATCTTTGAAAACTTCCTCTCATCCTCCAGCTGAAGCAACTGAACAAAAGGTTGAAGACAATGATAAATCGCACGCCGCTCCATAACCATGAAGCAAACGCCTGTCCTAAATATCTATAATTACAGTTGAGGAAGCACAATCAATCATTTGAATGAGGCTTTATTCTCGACTATTCTCTAGGCATGATATCCATCACTGGGGATTCCATTGTTGGCCCTTCTTTCTGGGTCGTCTTTGTCCCAGTCGTGGAAAAAGTAGCTGATCAAGAAATTTCTCAGCCGAATCTTCACATGTTGCCTACACAAACAAGGAAACCATGACATTCATACAATCATCACCCACCGAAAGTAATCTGTGATGCTAAACATTTAGTAAGAGAATAAGCCTAATGTACAACTCTGTTAGCCTTTTACTTAGACCACAACCGATAGAAACCTCGAGACTTTCATTAAGCTATGCCCGAACGGAAAAAATGAGCTTTTCAATGATAATTTGCTTGGACCATTTAATACAACACGTTATGACGAGTAAAGGAAAAGTCGAAAGTTTTACGAGTAGGAAGAGGATGAACGGAAGTTCTTTTCACATACCCGCCGGCTGAACGGTACTCGTATCGTCTGTACTTCAATTCCACACTGAACTCGGAGGTCTACCCCAAGACAGTCAATGCCGACAAGCGATACTTCCTGTTTAAAAGTTGAAGACAAACAAAATCCTCAATACGGATGTGCTTCAAACTAAAAAGACAAAGTAACAACGTAAACTAATTTGCACTTCTCACGAGCATCAATGACAAATTTTTTTACAAATAGACAACTTTGCGATCGACTTCGGCTCAATGGATCTCACCTCGGCTTCAAGACCTTTACATCGCAGGACCAGTGCCTTCAGCGCCGTTTCTACCTTGCTCCCACCAGAATTTATTTTCTCCATGATGGCTGTAGAAAAATGTGCCAGGACATCTGGTTCGGCAAAGGCGAAATCACGAACTTCGATGTTTGACTACAAAGAGACGACGTTTGTGTCAGTCGGACAATCTCAAAGTCATCGAGACCGACTCTTCATGCAGAATAAGGGACAGACTCGAAGTGATTGTCCAGTAAATACCTGGCCACCAGTACCCCGGTCCAGCCGAATGCTGAGAATTTCCAGCTTGTAGAAGGTTGTTCCTCCGCCTGGTGACTTGGTCCTCTCTGACCACTCCCCCACAATGGCATCACCTTCAATGGTAGTGCCAGGTGGCAAAACAATTTCTGTGGAATACTCTACTTCCAAATTTTCATCCAACACTTCAGAACTCTCAAATATTGAACCTAATTGCTTGTTTTTATCCTTATTTGCAGGAGGTTCCCACGAAATTATAGCTCCCTCTTGACTCTCAAGTCCTTCCCTATTGACATCCTTACGCGCACCTAAGTTCTCTGCTGGATTGCCAGCACTATTCCCAACCTCAATCAAAGGTCCGTCATTCATTGACCTCTCAGCACCATCCGTCACAATATTCTGCCACACGTTTTCAGCAAGAACAAGAGGATCAGTCCTTTTCTTAAGATCCCCGGAAGTGGAAAGTTTGGCACTACCATTTAAGGACTTGCCAAAGATTATCCCATTATGTGTGCCTTCCGTCCCTCCAGCCTTTAATCTGTTCGTTCTCCCACCATCCTGGCGACCACTTCGAGCAGCTTGTGAACTCGTTGACCCTACATCGTCACCTTCGTGATTTTGTCCTTCATCTCCTCCGTCCACCTCAGTATCATCATCGTCCCCGCTTTCATCCCCATCGTCATCACTGTCATCATCAGCCATGAGAAATCGATCATACCATATTCCTTGTACATATGGTTCTTCATCCTCGGTGACAGGACGAGCAACACCAGTGATGGTGAGGCGCCTTGCAGGCTTGCCTAGATCCGATGCGTAATCAGCGGTAACAGCCTGTGAACGCCACGAGCCAGAAGATCAGAGGAAACGATAAAGACCTCCATGACGTCCACCTTATGCCAAACGTCGAACGAGGAGAAAAGGAAACATGCCAATCAGGAAAGTTGGCGATGGTGCCCATACCTCAGAGACTTTGTAAGCAAACTCCATAGGATGAACTTCATCCAGAGTTTGGTAACCACCCCAGCCACCTAAAGAGCTGAAAGACTCTTCAGGCGTCGAGTCTTCAATCATAGCCTCTATATCCTCCACGGCCTCCCAGAACTGCAACACACCAACCTCGTCAGGGCACAACAAACTATAGGTCCATGAAGACTACGTTGGACATGAAGATGGGTGAATCAGGAAAGCCTCGAAACAAAGCCCAAGTTTGCTCCTACAAACTACAACAGATACTAAAATCTTTCGCAGAGTCTCAAGACTTCAAACGACTGGGCTCAGTTTGCGTGCTTACAATCTCGATGTCTTCACTATCGAGTTCAATAGACTCGTCGTCTGAGTCACTGTCGTCATCGTCCTCTCCACCTAAAACTCCTTCAATTAACTCAGAAAAATGTAGACCATCCACATTACCATATCCAATCAAAACCTGCATTCATACCATCGAGCGAAGAGTAAGAGGAATTTCTACAACTCCAGACGCTTGCAGGAGGTAAGCAAAGCAACCCCCGCAAACGTACTGTCGCACTGCAACACTTCAAGACCAATCAACAAGTGAACAAAATCAATATGGACGACAATATATCACTGTACCGTGTATACTTGTTCCGAAGAAAGGTTGTGCAAAAACTCATTTTCGTCTTCTACCTCGAAGTAGAAATCTGAAGGAAATCAAACAGCTTCTGTCAGTTGACGATGGAGACATCTTCATCCATAAAACGATTTCGTTTTCGAGCGCAACCTACACCGACATGATGGAAAACTGATAGAAATTTAGATTGGAAGAGGACATACACACCTCCTTGATCATCTATTAAGAATTGCACTTCTGTTCCAAACACGGCATCTTCATCCGAAACAACTGAAGAGAAAACGACTGCACTCCAATTTACCTGCAGGCGCACCACGAGTCGACTGGAACCATGTAAGACCTTCTCGCCTCAACGAACATGAATCACTGGCAGGCTGGAACATATACAACTGCTTTCTACCTTTCTATATTCAACATGCAGCACGTATAATCTACCTCCATGAGCATGTCAGTTCAACCCACTCACCTCTGAAATAGTCCGGGCGACCTCTGCATCTGTCAGTTTCCCATCACCAGCTTGATCTATTTCTTCTTTCTCCAACTTGGAGAGTTCTTCAAGTGGGTGGTACCCCCATTTTCCGCGACGCTTATTAGAAGCATCGGGTTTGGAGTCAGAAAAATCCGCAGCTACCCGAACGTCTACTGACCTCTTACTGACCACAGAATGTTCCAGCGAGGGAGCACAAATTCCGAGAAATCGACAACTGCGAGGAGTAGAGAGAGATCATCAGTTCAAATTTGCAGAGCGTCCAAGCTCTTACCACTCTGGCCTTTCAAATCATAGAAAATACCTTCAGAACGCCACATACATTGTGGGTTCATGAGGAACATGGACTGGGAGTTCAAGTCACAAGAAGGGCGATATAAACGTATTCAAAGTTCCTTGAATACACGAACACGGAGACCTTTCCTTCAATCAAATTAGAGGTACTCGATAATGAGAACAACAAAAGAGAAAATGTGTCAACATATACTTGACATCTGCTATGTCAAACGATCTGAGGTGAAAGGAGACTCGGGATTTCTGTTTCGCGCAAAAGGAAAGTCCTCTGAAGTTTTGACATTGCATGCCGATACTAAAGACCGCTTCCATAGACAGTTGTGTCCGTGAATTCAATTTCGCAGATGAAGATAGAAGTCACCAATGAACTTCAAAATGTACTTGAGCTACGTGAGTTGAAGCTATCTAGGCGATACGTATCAAGGTGCCTTCTCTCCCTTTTGCCTCGGTCCAAAGGTGGGAGCAAAGTAGAGTGCTCGCTTTAAACATCTTATCCACCGCGCATGACCAGCTCTCTCAAGTAAAGCGCTTTTCGTATTGCGGCCCGTAATTACCCTCATGGTGATATCTTAATCCCATTTCAAATGCTAGGTTATCGAGGCAGACACATCTAACCTGACCGAGCCATTTGCACAAATGCAGACTCACAAACCCTCAATTACGATATTTTACAAGCTGTAGGACAAGTCTGGACGTGAGGAATGCGGAGAGAGGAGCCAATTCAATCGAACGAACGTTGAAACCCACACATGCTTCCGGTGTCATTTCCGTGTTTCACTAAGTCAAAGAGACCATTTCTCCTGAGTCAACAAAGGCACCTAGAGAGTCGAAATCACAATAACCACATCAAAGAAGGCCACAACTCACATAATAAACCTCCATTTGTAATCTTGATGTTAATCTGAACACCGAGGCAAAAACTCACCTATGTCGCCCGAAAGGATCATGACTGAGATTGAATTGCGAAGGCCTCGGCCTCGGATGCTTCCACACGGCAGCGGTAGCAAATCTATCACCACCCCCAACACAGCCCACAAGGGCCGCCATGTCTGCTCCCACTTCAAAGGATAGACGACCCTAGGCTCACTCCATTCGCGCAAAATTCTCACCCAAATCCTCCCTAATCAGATGCCCTCTACACCTCCACAGCTCCACGATCTCCTGACCCTAGTATTCAACCCAAACCTCCTCCTGCTCCTGCTCCTCGTCCTCCTGTCCCAGTGGTGTCCAGCAGGGCTCGAGTCGGGGTCGGGACCACTCGCGCTCTTTATCGGAAGAGCTCGTTCGGGCGCGCTCTATCGCCACGACACGGAAATCACCGAGCGAGTGAGGGCGAGAGGAAATCAATCAGTCGCAGGACGAAGAAGGACTAGGAGCACGGGCAAATTCGTCCCCTCTTTCCATGGGCCGGCGAGGACGGCGAAGATCCGAACGCGATCACAAGATAAGCTCGTGACGGCCAGACGGCAATCAATCAATCCACCAATCCATCAGTCCATCAATCAGCGCTGTCGAGCTGCTGCGCTCCCGACGCCCTCCCCTCCGCTCCTCCTTCCTCGTCGTCCTCGAGACAAAACTCACCAAAACAAAACAAAAGAACGAGAAAAGAAGAGAAAAGAGAAGAAGCCGGTCGAGGCGACGCAACGCACGCACACGTTGGCGAGCAACGTTGGCGACCAGCCTCGTCTTCCTTTCTTTAGACGCGCGGGGCAGACGCTCCTCCTGCGCGTCCCCTTTTTGGTCCTGCCGAGCTCTTCTTCTGTCCCGTCCGGCCGGGCCCGAGCTCCTTCCTTCCGCCCGTCCTCCGTCCCGTCGACTCCCACTACGGACCGAAAAAATCTTCCGCTACCGCCAGCGCTGGAGACTGGCGCGGATCTTCCCCGAGCCGTTCCCCGAGCCGTTCATTGCCGGCAGCGGATGGCGCACCCTGGTCCCCTACTCTCATCGCCTGCTCGCTAGCCTAGGGACGGCTTTTCCGCCGGGCAGCGCGACGAATTGTTCTCTGGAGAATATGCCTTCCTTCTCGATCCTCTCGCTTTATCCCCTCGCGTCTGCGTCCAACCATTTGTCCTTCCCTTCTGCTGCGGCCTTTTATTATCCACCCCGAGGCCCTTCGCATTTTCCGTATCTCATCCATGATTATATCATTTTATGGTGATATTTAATAATAATACCAAAGCTCGCTTGGAGATGACGAGACTTTCTTCGTTCTTGGGGCTGCATCCTTCGTGCCTGAGAGTTCAATCCAGGGACTCCAAGGACACGCTTGATACGAGTGAATTGCGTCGACCGGGAAACATATTTGATCTTCAGGAATAATTTGTTCGTACAGAGTTCGAGACCGCAGATTTATAATAAGAGCGATTTATGGAGTTCGGACTTCATGCTATCCAGAGAAGGGTCTTGTATGCCTCAGGAGCCCATTGTATGCATGGGCTTTATTTTCATGTTTTCTCGCATGTGCCCTCGCCTTCGGGTCTTTTCACATAAATTAGAAGGCCTTGTGTAAACCCATGTTACAAGCCAAGGTACTCATTTATATTGATGAGGTTATTTTATACATGAATTAGCTCATGGACTTACAAGAAGATTGACTATAAAATTTAGAGTAGAAAAGTCTAGTTTGTGCATCAGAAGTAACATGAGGCTAATGTCAAAAAATTGATTGAAGATAATGATGGACTGCATTAACTAATACATTTCAATGAATGAGAGATCGAATTGTGCTGTGCGATAGATACGGAAGTGAAGTTCTTTCTTTCTTCCAAAAAACATTGGATGCGTGTAAAGTATCTTACTCTTAACTTTTGGATATATTTGAGATACTAGTGGTTTTCAATATGGAAACCTGTGAATCAATCCATGCGGCTTACATGCTTACATCATAACTCATGCGAATTTTTGCGGTCGATAAAAATTAGGGATTTATTGAATAAAAATTAAAGAAAATGTTGGTATTTAAAAGTCACATAATTTTTCTATCGCAAGCTTTCATCAAGAAAATATTTTGTAAAGCAAAATTTTCTATGTAAGTTTGATTTAGAAAAGATTGTCCGATCATCATTTGACATGGTTAATTTTGTTCATATGAGTTTTGATTTGATATTGATAGTTTAAGATTATGTACACTTTCATTGATATTTTGGAAAAATCTTATCACGATTTTGTATTGGAAAGATTTACTGTTCTATACCATTTAACATTTCCAAAATTTGAAATGAGTTCAAAGAGATAGATTAGAAAATTCATCCAAGAGTATTCAAAAAAATTTGCAGGTCACAATATAGCTTTATAGTTGTATGAATAATTTTACAACAAAGTTCATTAACTGAATAAATTTCATAAAAGGTCATTTGTGTACATAGGAATTTTTCATTGAAATATAATATTACTCCAAAAAACGGAATATTTGGAAAAAACTGCATTGTATTTGAAAACTTTTATACTCATCCATTTTTGTAATTTTTGTAATCTTCATATTTTAACCAATCATTTAGTTGTAATAAATTCATATACGTGTGAACCATATCTCCATAAGGTTTAGATTGATAATAAAAATGGAATAAACTCCATACGTCATGAACTCTTCGTAATATTCCACGGTATTTTTTCTCTAAAAATCATTGATTCTTCATATCTTGAGTTTTGTTAAGTTTTATTCACTAAACGTAAAATTACATAAAAACTGATTTTAATTTTATAATTATATAGTAATTATGAAGAAGTTTTTCATTGAAATGATATACATTTTAAATATATATATGGCCTAGGAGAAAATTCTAAATATATCGATAAATATGATGAAGGCGTGTTATAGATTTTTTGAGTTGAAAGACTTTAATGTGTATGTATATAAATATTGTATTGTTTATCAATGATACAATATTTGACCTATACATTTTTACTTGGCAATCACGAGCATACTACTAGACTCCGAGATGTTTAGGCTGGTTAAATAGCTACCAAGATTAAAATCAGACAATATGAAAACTTCTATTATACCATGATCATCTATTTAATTAATCTGAGAAATATTAACAGCAAACGTAAATGATCACTTCAGATTATAAACTCAGTATCAACATTGTTCTTAATCTTTTGTAAATTGGGGTATAAAGATATCGGACTATGCAAATATATGAACTATTTGATACAAAAATATAATAAAAAATGATTATTAAAAAATTACATTTTCTTGAAGATTATTTTAAAATAGAAATAATAATTAAAAAATCAAAACATAATTCAGTGAATTATTACAATCGTGAAATTTACCTATGTATCCAAAACATTCATTGATTATACTATAGAAGATAAGTAGTATCATTTAAGACAATTGATCAAAGTACTAGAGTGCACCTTGCCAATATGGTGCATGAAAAATAAGAAAGGTGCACTCTAGTACTATAGGTGCATTCATTTTCCCCGCAAGAATGAAAAAAAGATGAATGAATAACAACATCTGCAATAGAAATGCGAATTGGACAAACATCTTTGAGAGACAAGAATGGACAGATGAAGGCCCGCCCGCCCGCCCGCCCACCCACAACGCATCCAGACCGGCCTGGAAAAAGTCGACAAGTGCATAGTCAGACGCTGAAAACCGCCAATTATGGAAAGAGACGGGCGAACACCTGGTATCATGTGCACCAAAACAAGCTGACGGAACAACTCGACACAATCCCTTTAATGATGGGTGCCAAGCGAACATCATCATGCGCTCCACACCTCCGCCCTGGTCTCATCGTCAAATCGAAGTCAAAACTCGTGTCTGCATCGAAAGACCAGACACCAGACCGACCTCGAGTAAAAAACTGGAAAGAGAAAGAGATATCAGAAGAAAAATCTAGTGGAGGATTTTGGCATGTCCCCAAAGGATCGGGATTGCCATCCTTTTGTGATATCCATTTGTCCCTTCGGAGCCTTTCAGCGAGCGCATCTATAGCTCTCATCGGAGCGCGACAAGTCCGGGGCCGGTCACCGCTCGGGCCGGTCACCGCCTCGTCGGAAAGGAGGGAAAAGATCCCGACAGGGCGTCCGTTCCAGTCGCCGGCGGCGCTTGCCGATCTGACCTGCATGCATCCCAGGGATCAAGGTCCGCCTCTCTATCCGTCCCCTTATCCCCTTCCTTGTCTTGTCCCGGCTCCCTCGCCCCCCCTCCCCGTCCCCCTCGTCCCCCCCTGCTCGCTCGCTCGGCAATGGACGAGCGATGAGCAAGCGGCTGGAGAAATTGCGCTGCTCGCCGGGCCTCACTTCGTGCTCCGTTTCCGAATGCTGCTGGCCATGTCCCAGGCTCGCAGCTCAGCCCCGTCTCCCGTGGCAGCCGCTTGCTCTTCGCTTGGGAGGCCGCAGAGATTCTCGATAGTCCCTTGAATTCTGCTCCTTCTCCCTCATCCGAAGGCGTCGTAGCTTTTCTCGGAGGGAGAGAGCGAGATGCAGCAACTATCGGTCAGGGATCACAGTGCAGTTTGTGCGAGCCCCTTCACACGGTGAAACCTCATTCTTCTTCGATTCGTTTGTTTGGTGTGGCATTGGAGGAGAGTGGGAAGATGTGATGTCGCATTTGATGCAATTCCGTGGTTGCTCAGCCGGCGGTGGCGGTTGGAGCTGTGACATTTTCATGCTGATGATTCCGACCTCGTGAAATCATCAGAATTGCAGTTGTCCGTTGCGCGTTCTGCTGACGCACCATTGCTGCGATTTGTGCAGATGGAGAGGTGGATTGAATGTGTTCCATGGGAGCTCCGGGAGCGGCCGTGTTCTGTTCACCGGAAGTAACTTCGAAAAATCGCTCGGCATTGGCAAGTCATGCACCTGCTTGTCTATGAGCTGGAGCGACCCTGGCCCGACAGCTCCCGCTGTGAAAACGAAACCCAAGAAGAAAAGCTGGAACAGGTTGGTGTGGAGTACGGAATTCTCTTCAGATTTTCTCGCCTGCAAACCAGCCAGCTCAATTGCCCTTGGACCCTAGCATGGAGTTTGCCGCTGAGTTTAATTGATGAATTTCATTCAATTTTGTTCATTAGTTTTATTTGCGAGGAGTGGGAATTTGTGTTTCTGAATCTGCATCTCATACCTTGTGGGAAAATTCGCATATCAGGAATGTGCATCTCACATCTATGGCCCTAGTGTCGTAACAGCGTGGCCTGGGATGGATGGTCCTCGTTGTCAATTCACTTATGGTGCAGGCGAACTTGCGATATTTGTTACCAACATGACCGACCTCATTATTTTTCTCCCTGTAGCACAGGAAAGTCCAGACGAGGTTATGGATGGAACACCGAACAGGGGAAATCGAGTGTATACCAAATCATGAGCCCCGCTGCAGCCGAGCTCGTTCGTTCTCTCCAGAAACAGAAGGACGTTGACGGATTGTGGGATGCATTGGATTCTCTACCTTCAGGGCGGGAAAGCTGGTCGGACCTCACCGATTGTGTCATGGAAATTCGGAACCAGCAAAATTGGCTACTTGTCATACAGGTAAATTTCGACCTTCTGTTTTTGGATGCAGTAGATGTGAGAAGTATGCCTCATCCCATTCACGATTGTGAGAGTTTAGGCAGATTGTCTAGTCTGACCCTCGTATGACCCGTATCCATGTTCTCTCGGCCTCCAGTTTGTTTTTCAATTCATTAGGTAAATTTATTTTTCGAACCCGTAGAAGGACCAATGCAGATTCGACCGAATGTTCTAACATTTTACGTGGACTTAATCCAACTGTGCAGATACTGGAGTGGATGCTGCAGAGCAAGCAGTTTCGTGCTGATGTTGTTTGCTACAATCTTCTGATCGAAGCCTATGGGAAGATCGGTCAGTATACTGAAGCGGAGAAGACATTCTTTCTTTTAAGGAAGTCCTTTGTTGCCCCTACCGAGATGAGTTACAATATGCTCATGGGTGCCTACTCAAAAGCCGGTTTGCTCGACAAAGCTGAGAGACTATTTGATCAAATGAAGGAGGACAAGTATATTCCTGGTAATGTCTCCACCTCTCTGATTTCGTTGAAGCCAGCAGCTCGTTATCAAAAGCTTAAATGTTTCTAGTTGGGGACATGCAGAATTCTGATTATTCTCGTTCTGCATTATTCTCATGTAAGGAGTGAATAGAAAAGTAAAGATTAAAGAGTTGATGGAAAAGTATCTGACTCTCAATTTCTCTCGCGTTGTGGATGCAGACCTCTCAACATACAACATTTTTCTCGAAGTACTCGCAAAGGCAGGCAAATACAAGAAGGCCGAGCGAGTATTCTCGGAGATGAAAGCGAACTGCAATCCGTCCGCAGCTACTTACACGTCGATGATAAACATATACGGTAGAGTAAGTTTATCTATTTGATTTCTTCTCATACGTTTTTGGCGTTCTTAAGACACTTCACATACACTTTTGTGTGAATTCACAGCAAAAGTACTTTATCCTTCAATATTCTTCACATGAAGTAGATTTGGTTTCACCAGGAATCCAGCCATGTGTTGGCAGCCGTTTGTTGTTTGTGTGGTAAAACTCCTCGGGCTGCCCTCGTTTATAATATTATACCTGCCGCAGGCTAGGCTCCCGGAGATGGCAGAGAAGCTGTATTCTAGTATGAGGGACTCGGATTGTCCACCGACTCTGTACACCATGACTGCCCTGATCAACGCCTACGCCAAAGAAGGATTATGCGAGAAAGCCGAGGAAGCCTTTCACAACATCAAAGCTCTTGGTCTTGAACCTGATGTGTACAGCTACAACGCTTTGATGGGAGCCTACAGGTCTGTGTTGCAGTCGTGTACTCTTCATTCTACTACCCCGTCAATGAATCACAGGGATTCTATGGAACTTAATCTCTACATTGAAATCTAGGTGATGGAGTTCTATCTTTTTCCTCATGGCCAATTCGTATAACTATCTGTTCGAAAGCCTCCCTGCAGAGTGTTTGACACGTGTTCTTGGTGCAGTCATGGAGGTTTCCCAGCGGGTGCTTCTGAAGTTTTTGACGCCATGAAGGATGATGGCATAGATCCGGATCAAGTATCGTACAACATTCTCATAGACGCTTTCAGTCGAGCCGGTCAAAGTGAAGGTAAGGAGCCACTGCCATGTTTTGTGTAATTTTTGTGGGGTTTTCTCTTTATTATCTGTTGCTAGAAAGGCGTTGTCTACCACTGGCTGGTTCTCTCAGTGGGAAACCTGAACATTTCAGCTTTTGCTGTATCTGTGCAGAGGCAGAGAGGGTTTTCAAGATTATGAAGGATCATGGCTTCCAGCCAACTTCAAGGTCCTACATGCTGCTCCTGAAAGGGTTGTTAAGAGCAGGGCAAGTGATGAAAGCTGAGAATCTAATTAAAGGCATGGAAGCTGATGGTCGCAAACCTGATACATTCATGTACAATTCGTTATTACACGCGAAGGGGACCCGAGGAAATTTTGTAGAGGTTGAACGTTTATTTAATGTAATGAAAAGTGGTTCTAGGAGTCGGCCTGATATATCTACTTATAACATACTCATAAACATCAACGCCCAGGCAGGGTTTATAGATAAAGCAGAGAATATTTTCAATAATTTAGAACGGGAAGGGCTTGTGCCCAATGTCACCACTTGGACTTCTCTCATGGGCGCTTATTCCAAGAGGAAGCTGTTCAAGAAGTGCTTGAATGTGTGGGATAGAATGATAAAAGCTCGCTGTGTACCAGATGCAGCAACTTGGAAGGTTTTTCTTGCATCTTGCAATACCCAGGAAGAAATGGACGAAGTCACAGCATTGACCCAGCAATATCAGTCCGAAGGACTTAGAAAAGCTCGTAATAAAGATCATAATTATCAGTGAGTACTTTGAACTGTCACACTGGTCACTATGACCTACTACTCATGCTACACACGAGTATCCTTTTGGATCATATGTTCTTTTGAGTAGTACAAGAGTGTTCACCTGTGTCCAGCTTTGTGATTCAAGTATACTCTTTTCGGTTCTCGTGGTTGGCCGCTCAGTTCAAGAGGTACGTTTTTCCTCATAGACATCAGGGTAACCACCGACTGATAACGCAAATGAGTCGTGGACTTGCACGAACCTCTCACACTCTATGCGCTAACTATGGGAGTACATTCCACCACAATAGACTGTAGCATCTTCCGTTTTGAGATCAGTACCTGCAAATTACCTTGACGGACCACGAAAGAAGCATGTTTTTCCACATTTTTCAATGTTAAAATCCTTGGCCAAAAATCCCAAAATGAACAGAACGGAAATCGTGGAAACATTCATTAGACACCTTCAGTGTACAATACACATAAACAGTTGAATGTATGTGCAGGCAAGTCAATTCTCCTCCTGTTCACCTAGCTTTTGCTGCTAACTAGTATACTTGCAGCTGGATACGGAAATTACGTTGGACGACACATTGATTGGAGAATGCCTGCCAAAGGCATGGTACAGAACTCCCTTCAGTTAGTGCCACTTGCGTATGCCTGGTCTCTACTCACGAGTACTTGATTTGAAATTGGTCTAATGTGGTGTGACTCAGCCCAGGCTTTCATAACAAGACAGGCAATGGGTATGCTGTCCGGCAGCCGATTTTGCAAAGAAATCTAGCTAATGTGATTCATGAGATAATCTTATCAATAATGGCGATACTTCTTTCACTGCTCTGTTACCTACAGGCTAGTGCTATCAATAGCACAACACTATCTAGAGATATTTCTTCTGATGCTCTGCTAGTGACATAATTAATTGATATAGATAGTCAGAAATATTAGGAGCAATCGGAGATATTATTCGTCGTAAATATATTGGGACCAAGTCCCTAAATATCCTTTTGGTTTCATTACTATAAGACAAGATGAGGTCTTCCCATCCTTTTTGCTAAATTACTGGGTCTCTCACTTTCTACTCATAAGAAATAACTTCGAAGAAAGCTTTGTATTTGATCACGAGTACCATCCGTATCCAGGCTCAGATGGACTGTCAAGAATCGAATTCCAAACGGATCCAAACCTTAAAGTCTGAAACTCCAGCTTCTTGACACGAAAGTAGAGATGGCAGCATAGAATGCCTTCTTTATTGCTAGTTACAAATCTACACGCACAACGAGAACAAAGCAACGACTTGTAGCCCCCAAAAGTTGACACTCTAGCCTGAAAATGCATTCACCACCGTAAATAGCTTCATAATCAAGCTACATAACACGGATACTGTGGATACAAAAGTTTTGGACGACGAACCTATCCGCTTTGAGCCATAACAGACCCTTCGACGGGACGTCGAAATGGAAATGATTCAAAGCACTCCTGTGAAACTATTCGCAGTCCTGATCCTCTACACTGGATATCAAATTTTCATTGGGCACACACTTCGGGCGTGGAAATTCTGCGAGGGAAGAAGATGGCAGGTCTAATGACAGATGCACTCCTAAGTGTGAAACTGTTTTAATTCTCTATGATGACGGGAGTGATGCTCGGTAGGATGTCATGATGACACTCTCCATGCAGATTTCAAACAGGCCTGGTCGATTGGGTGCTCCTTCCTGTACTCATTGTGTAATCTCAAAGTGGCAACATGATATTCATGAATTTCCTCTTCGCAAATGCCAGCCACCATTTGTTGGGCCTCCCATTAGGTCTGTAAACACGTTCTATGAGTCTACCGCTGGTTTCCTCCCTTGCTTGCTTCAAATAGCTACGAAACAACTCTGCAATCAAACGAAGCCCGTATAGCTGTCAACAACTTCACCATGAATAATAGCTTCTTCCTTACGGGAAGCGAGAATCAGATTGAATGATCTTAAGTCTTGATTAAGATAAACACCAACTACTGGCACGAGGCTGGATCCTCTCTACAAACCCCGTACTATCTAGGAGGTCATTTACCTCGGTGCACCATATTTCTGAAAAACTCAGAAACACCCAACACAAACCATAAGAGGCCATCACGCTAGCCTGAACTTCGATATGGTGACTAGGACATACCTGCTTCTTCTCTTGACTGAGGGGGAGTGAGGAGGCCGCCCAAAGGAAAACCTCCTTCTCCTGGTATGGGGAATTTCTCTAGACCGAGACTGATAATTGCTTTTATACCATCTGCTTCTGTCTTGCACGCCTCGATTCTTTTCAAAGCCATGTTTATGTACAGAGTCAAGTAGATCAAGAGCTTGTCTGCAGCGCTTTTGACCTCAAACTTTCTAAAGAGAACGTTAGCTCTGAAGAAGTTAATAGCCTCATCGATAATGTCTACTCCAACTGTCACATCAACCAAGTACGAACGCAAGGAACAAGCTCTCATTAAGTTTTGCAACCAAGCTGAATATTCTGAAGACCAACTGTTCAAGTGTAGCAAACGATAATGGAAAACTTTCATTCCTCTTTCCAGCTCTTCTAAACAGTTTTGCCGATTGAATTCGAAAACACGAGATAAACTCGCCCCTACTTTCTGCCATAAGCAATGTTTGTAATTCTAGTCAGAACGGATTTAGGGTTAGCTAGAACTTTTGCAAGCTAGACAAGTTGGGCTTTTTCACCTGCAGCCGAATCCAGCACTGGGGCTGGACCCTTGATATGACTTCTAAGGGGAAGCAATGGGCATCCGCATGCTTGTGTGTACTGTCCTTCTTCTTTGAATGAGGAATGGTATACCTGAGAAACGCAACTTTGTGAATTACTCGTAAGCAGCTAACTGATCCTCCGCAGAAGAACTCTATAAACATAACTGAGCAATGTGTTTGAAATATCTGAAGAAGGAAAGCACAATACAAAAAACGAAGGATGCATATGACGGCCCAATAAACTTGAAGACTTCGGAGGCAGCACTCCAAGTCCAGACAAGCACGTCAAGAATCAAAATTCAAATTGCATACAACCATCTCTTATCAGCAAATATAGCTGTTCGCACAAAATACTGTCACAGAAGAGTTTAATTGGGAAGATCTATGTGGGCTGAAAGAATTCTCCAAATCAATAAATTCAAGCCTCTTCAAAATTCTAGCATTCTGGATAGGGTGAAAAATTCTCTCCCCTTGACAGTCAATATACAAAACAACTGGAATTTCACTTGCTGAAAGATCCACGAAAATGGATACAATGCCGCCAATTACGACGAATTCGCAACAAGTAGACAAATACAGGACGCTGCAGATGTGCTGCTGAATCTCTAACAATGGATCCCAAAGCAGAGGACAGAGCAGCGGGCCCGGCCTGAAAGTCATAGTCAGTGATCGAAAGCTCACGAAATCGTTCCAATCAGCAGCTTTCGGATATTGTCTCAGAGCAAATCGATGTAACGGGACGGCAAAATGCACAACTCACCATCGCGCTGAATCGGGAAGCTGAACCCAACTTCAAATTTGAAGCACGGGATTCTGGATCGCGAAAATTCCGAGGTTCAAAAACTCGAGTGTGCACGCCCGGCGCCCACAGCCGCTGACCGATCGACTGACCACTGGACGGGAGTTGCCGCCTGTTTCCCTTCAGGACCGCTGTCTATTGCTGTCTCTGGTTTCTTCCTGGTCACTCTTCGCTTTCCATTATTTCCTGTCAGCAGCAATTTCATTTCATTTTCTCGTAATTGGTTTACAGGAATATGAAAATATATTGTGGTGGAAAGACCACCAGATTTCATTGTTAACTGGGGGTTTCACGGACACCGACCCGGTGGTTCGTGAATCATTGAATTCATTAAAGGAAAAATTAAAGTTTTGTTACCACGAAAAACAATCTACTATGTGTATCCACATTGTTCATCTTGGGAATATGAATTATGTGGATTCTAGTGCAACAAGTAAATGAAAAATTGAAGTTATGCTAACACGGGAAGAACAAACTACGATATATATTCAGGAATGGAGAAATCCTTTCACAGGAAGCACACCGATCGATGTGAGTTTGCTACGTTTATACAACACTATTTCAATGGTTAAGAATCAATTTTTGAACATGCACTTGGAAACTTCATTACGAACAGCTTCATTTTCTACTTCCATATCATATCCTGAAAACATATATAGACATACAATAACTTTATATCTTCTCATATATAAGAAAAAGAAAATTGTATAGATGTAGAAAAAGAATTTAAGGATTTATAACTCGAATAAAAATTGCAATCTACGCGTATTAATATTTTCTCTTTTTAATAACTATTTCTATTTCAGATTGAAATTTATGTGATATGATGATATATGATACTTATATGTGAATGATATAATTCGATAGAAAAGACATAGCGCAAAAGTGCGCTTATAGCATTGAGTTGGAAATCTATTGTTGATGCTCTTATGTATACTCGAAATGTCAAAGGATGTGATAACGATAATGAATCATAGATAGAATGAAGTTATGACACTTCAACCATTCTATCCATCTTGGATGATTCAAGGCGGTAGATTTACAACTTGAAGGGGCGTTTCATCCTTATTACCGGATCACCTTTCTTCACTCCAACTGTTACAAAAGTGGGGACCTCCAATGCATGTCTAAATCCCTTAAATAGTTAAAAGAATGAGGAAAATTGATTCTGAATGTGAGAGAGAAACAAAAAACGGAGCGACACTTCCAGCTTGGTGAAACGTGGTGCAGTGAGACAAACTTGATGTGTGAACTTCCTAAAATTTATATGATTCGTAGATTTCATTTCTACTATGTTTGGTATACCAGGTAATTGACACCTCGAGAATCTTGTGCCACCAAATCCTCGCGATTCAATGACCCATTCAACTCCACTGTTTCTTTGGGGTGAATTTGAAGACTTATTTTTTGGCACTGCTTATCTCTGAATTGAATTTCAGAGATAACAGGTGGAGCATCATGTGATATCACATGTGTTTCTAACATTCCACAGAACATTCACATAACGCCTAGTTGTCAAATACTTTAGTTTGGAAATTTACAATTAAGAAGAAATAATGATAAATAAAACGCTCTTCGAGCTGTAGTTGAGGTGAAAAACTCTATCAACGTTGTTTTACTTTTTGAACTTTTAAGCTCTATTTGAATGAGTGTAGTTAAAAGGATATTTTATAATCATTATTTAAAATAAGTTTAGTATTGCAACATAAAGGTTTGGCCTTGGTTTGGATTATGAATCTCAATGTTTATTCTTCATCGGTGAATTCAGAGTTTAGCTGAGCCGAGCTTCTCCAAATATAGGGTTTGAGTAATCATCTCCAATATTGCACTCATATAAATAGAACGTGAGATTCTCTATCAATCTCTTGTATTGTGTAAACTACTTGAGCCAGACATATTTTCAACACGCTATACCTTATAAAATGTTATTGATGTTCATGTTATTGGTATATCTTGTGACCTTGTTGTATGTATGGTGAGCATATATCATATATTGGGACCTAAGGTGATAAAATTGGGCTAGCCCCTATTCACACGGTTCATCTTTTGTTGTTATGTACTTGCCTCCCGGTTTCACCAGATTCCGAATATTTCCTCCAGCTCTCCTCGACTCCCACCGGGACCAACCGGTAATGTTGAGGGCCCTCGTCCCCGGCCCGTGACTCCCCTTTTTTATATTTAGGACGAAGATGACCGGGCCGAAGCCATCATCAACGTCCGCAAAGGGCCGCCACTTCGCACATCGTTTGCGCACCTTTTTGCGCAATAATGGATACGACGACCTGTTGCAGCGACCCGACAGAGAAAAATGGCTTTCCACCGTCTGCTGCGCTTCGCCGTTTCGAAGTGCCCTGATCGGCATTCGCGGTGGCTAACCGGCGGACAGTCAAGTTTTTAATGCAATCGGACAAGGGGAACAATTGGGACCCCCATACCCTACAGTACTTTTCCCATGCTTGCCATCCTCCAGCCGGCAAAAAGCATTTTGACAGCTCCGAGCAAATCTGCGATTCACTCGCTCCCAATTAACTCCACGACACAGGATGAATGTGAGCTTCGAGCAATTGGCCGTTCGCACTGCTCGAGGATTGATTCCGCGCACGCAGCTTCTCGTGGGCAGCGGTTCTCGTAAGCTCGTCGACAAATCACGCGGAATCTACGCAAACATATCAAAGCATCAGATTAGAATCGCCTCATCAATTTGGTCGCTTAATACAGATACATGAAGAGAGACCATACGCCCTCCTCTGTGCCAGAAGAAAAAATGAAATGGTTCCACATCTGGTTAAAAGGTCTTGTGAATTTTTTCAGTCAACCGTGACATCGAGCCCCGTCCGCCCTCGTCTGTATCAGAATAGAAGATAGAATGGATCCATATTTGGGATGAGAGTTCAGTCAACTGGCATCACCGACAGAGCTAATATTAGAGATCAGATGTGGCGAGAGATTCGGGTGAGGGGAGTTCGCTGACGAGTCGACAAGCTGCGGGTACATCCGAGAGGGCGTGCAGAGGCAGTTCCAGGAGAATTCAATTCGCCGTATTGGGCACCTTGGCAGACACCAAAAGTCAGTTCAGATGAGGCTTACGAGGTAAAAAGGATTGTGGTAGGACACGATCAGTACCCCATACATGATAAAAAAGGATACTCGTTTGGACATGTCTCCTCGTGTTCGAAGAAGATGATGCATAATTTACAGCATTATCGGAATGATCTACAGCCTTTTACGCCTCACGCCGTGGACCAAGTACGCTTCTCGTGTGTCACTCAGGGACTGCATGCTGCTGGGTTTTGGAAGGATTCTGGTGACCTGCAGGAGGTTCTGTCTTCACAGCGGGGTCCACCTTGCGATACGGTGAGATATCTTTAGTGCACCACCATCCCCAGACTCCCCCTTGCTGTCGAATCCAAACACCTAAACCATCCCTGTGTGGATCAAGTTGCCAATATGTATACTCTGACGGCCGCCGGCCGAAAATCAATCAGAGACTCCATAAGCGGCAGAAAGTCAGGAGCACTAGCCAATCTCAGGGCTCCGATCTAATTCGTATTCATTCAGTACAAACCATCAGTTATAAGTGGGCAGCCGGTACTAGACAAGGCTTCATCGCCTTGCAACATTGAACAAAGATTGAGACGATAAAGATTGATGGTGAACCATGTCTACATACGCGGCGGTTTAGTGAGCTCAAACAGATAAGAGAGGATAACAAAAAATATGCACAAGATATTATTTTCGGTTGGAAAAACTAAACCAGATGTAATGTTCGTCAACAATTCCATTTTAAAATGCTGCATAGGAGAAAAGGAAGGCACAACATTCAAGGAAAGTCGCGAGCACGACAAGGACCGACACTATCGAGAGAGAAAATAACCACATGGATTATAGACTCGGTAAGCTACTGGCAAAATCGGCAGTCTACATGTATCTGGGTGACTTGAATCTTGACATCGCCGTACAAAGACTTGCACACTCCGTTACACAACAAGTGGAGGGGGTGATGATGAATCATCAGTGCGCTGTTGGAGTTCATGACAGTGCAGCACAATGTACGTGATAATATAATCAGGCAGCCTGAGATTCCGAAGAGATAAAGCCATACAAAAAAGTTTATTTGTGATTATGTACACGCGAAAAAGAACGTAACAACATTTACATACTTATTACGGAAGAAACTAACCGAGCAGAGCTTGATGTACAGTTTTGTGACAAGGATGCTCCCCTACAAATTTCCTATATATAAATAACTCAACATCTACTCAAAGACAGAGCTGCTGCCAATATGGTTAAGCAAAGGGAGGGGTAATTGAACTTGAGGCCAGGCGTGTGCAGCTTCAGCACCCCGAAATAATAAAAAGACCAATTTGGTAAGATTAGAAGACTGTCCACTGTCGGTGGAAGATTGAAGCTCTAACAACTGTACACAGTAGCTATGTAAGCCTCCTGGAAGAAGGAAAATTTCTTCAACCCTCTCTGCTAACTCTGGAAACTAGGACCATCTCATTGGACATGTCACTCGTGTGCAAAATTTTCATCCCTCGTTCACTTCTCACATCCAAAAGATAACGCAGCACTTCCTACCCCAAATCACATCAAATCTTGGGTCTGGCCTTCTGCATGTATGATTGCTTCCATTCTCTTGCACTTGCATCTTTGAACAGACGAAAGGAAAAAGGACTACTATATTCGACAACTTTCGCACTAACAGAACGGGAAAAAGGATCACGGACAAAGAGCTCTCTAGATTCTCTTGGCGATCGCACCACGACCGGCGATTTGGTCAATGGTCTCTGCCAAGCAACCAGTATATTACACCACAACAACCCGACATAGACTTTTGCTCCATGTGAGGTCTCAAATTACTAGCCACAATCTGCGAAGCGAGAAACACGAGTCAGATTCCGATCTTCCCGAAAACGAGGAATCGCATATAAAACATAGAAGCAGATGGAAGCTCGAGTGGATCAAACTTAGACACATGCCAGCTTCGACTTTTCCTTCGTTCAAGGTAAAGAGTCGAATCGGCATAGTTGTGATCAATCCATGAGGTCAAACGTGAATGCATGATGGCAAAATCGTGAATTGGACCATGGTCCTGAAATCACAGCGAAGTTCAAGGGCAACAACGATGTAACTCACCCCATTCTTAACCGCAGCCGGTCGATTTGTGTCGACAGTGAGATGACTCTCCTCGACGACGGCTTGCTGCTGCTCCGCTCGATTTGAAGGCGGTGCTGAGGGTTTTACTGTTACTTGGTCCACGATCAATTCCGTTTGATCTCCTGAAGAAGTTTTGGACTCGTGGATCCTTAGGGCGGACTCAAATTCCGGAACATTAGCGCTTAATTTCTTCGACTCCTCTGTTTCTGTGCTCGTAGACGCAGCTTCCTTATCTTCGCCGGCAGTTGCGGTGGCTGCCGAAGGTTTAACAGAAGCGATGCTCTCGGTCTCTTTGTGCTTGTCATCAGAGGGTAAAGATGCCACTTCTTTATCTTCGCTTAAGACGTTTTCTCCTGCATCTAAAATACTAGAGCCGATGGCCTTTCCACCACTTACCGCTGCTTCAAGCCATGCTTTCTCGTCCTCTCCTGGTCGGTTTAAGTTATCACTAGGAATTCTAGTCTCTTCCGTCAGAGACAGAACCTCCTTGTCCTCGTCAACTGCTTCCCCCTTGGTGGAAGGGGTTTCGACAGGTATGTCCAGAGGAGTGTCCACCTCGCTAATGTCCTTGGCAGCCGATGCAGTGATCTCCTTTTCTTCGATGGGACTGGCAGCTGCTATTGTTTCGACGGCAGCCTTCCTCTCGGCTGCTATCTCGTCCGCCTCCGGGGGGAGAACCCCGAATGTGGAGGACGGCGGTTTCGCATCGACAACAAGATCATCGGCAGCCGCCTTCCCTTCCCTTTCTCGATCTTCACTGATGTCTGCTGCTGTTGGCGCCTTGGTTTTTAAATCGCCGGAGCTCATAGCCTCGTCGACCTTCATCTCTTTCTCTTCCGGCACGCCGTCGTCGGGTTTCGATGAAGATTTTTGACCTTCATGTACGACCACCTTCTCTACGGGATCTCCGTTCGATTTTACAATCTCTTTCTCATCCTCCTGCTCGACGTCGTCGGCAGTCTGTGCTACGACGGATTCGTAGGTAGGAGGAGGAACCTTGCTTGAATCACCACCAGCCGAACTGGTGGCGACGAGGGGCGTAGAATGTGCGTCAGAACTGCTGCTGCTGCTAGTGCTAGTACTGCTAGAGCTGTCGCTTCTAACGCTCCTTCTGTCAATATCGGAGTCCTTCTCCTGAACAGATTGCGGCAACGACAAATGCAAAAAGCTTTCGCTGGAGTGTCCTGACGCCCCTTCCGGAGCACTCTCCTCGACCTCAACTTTGGATTGCTCCTCCTCCAGGCTGTTTGTGGATCCATCTTTTGCCTCCGGGGTATGGTCCCCGGACACACTCTCCCATTCGGCCAATTTATCGAGCGATCTTCTGACCGTGCTTATATCGGCGTCCTCGAATAGTGGCTCATTTTCACCTGTTTGTGACGTGGGCGTTCCCACGTCGAAATTTGACACTCGAACCCATTCCTCCGTTTGGGAAGACACGGCGTCTTTGTCGTCAAAAGTTGGACGGGCACGACAATCGCCCGGTTTCTCGAGAGTAGGAGTGTCGACATCGTCGACATCGAGCTCGTCAACATCCATCGATCCACTGATGGACAGACCTTCCGTCTCACTGTATGCTTCCAGCAAAAAGCACACGACTTCCTTTCAGACCAACTGAGACAGAAAGAACACTGCGCACCATAACCCTCAACCCTCAACCCTGCTCCCAACCTCTTCACCGTCACAGACCTCGTAATCCCCTCGAGCTGCAGCACTCCTACGAAAGACATCTCTCCCTCTCTCTCTCTCTCCGCGACCTACACTCACCGGCGTAACGCTCGCAGTCCTCTCAAGAAGCCAAACTCAATCATTCCGAGACGCAGAAACGCAAAGCACGAGCAACCGACCGACTGTCATCCGGCACGGAGACAGAGGAAGACGAAAAGCAAAAGGAAAGGAGGCGGAAGCGCGCAAAATCAAACATACCCAAATTTGCATCTGTGGCAGGAGATCCTTGTTTCTTCCTCCTGAGTTTCATCCGCTTCTTCGGTCCGGACGGCATGGCTGCTGGCTGCCTCCTTCCTCCCGCTCAACCAGAGCGATCAATCGATAGAGATCTTCTCTTTTATGCTCGTCGTCTGCCCTCCCTGCGCGCGCCTGTTTCTATACCCAAATCGTCCCACGCGAACCCTCTGGATGCAAATCGCCCCTGGCACTCGCCTCACTACGCTTCCTCCTCGCCCGTCGCCTCCAGTAGCACCATGCAAGCAAGGATGAGGTGCTGACAGGTTTCTCCGGATGTTGTTTGGATGGATCGACAGTAGAGCAGGCCGAAGGAGGGCAGGCAGGCAGGCAGGCAGGCCCGGAGGAAGTCAAACCGGAGAAGATATGTGGTTATAGCTGTAGCGTTCGGGGTCAAATTACGACGATGTGCGGCAAATTTTGGAATCTTCGGATTACTTTGAGGCCCGAGGAGGTAGAATGAAACGGGCCGCTGCTCACATGCTTCTGGTGATTTCCATGTAACCAAAGCATATGGCGGGGCCACGAGCCGACGAGAGCAAAGCGAGGACGGGCGAGCCGAGTCGCTGGAATCGGTTGCCAGCGCGAGGGACGGACGGCCAGGGCACCAAGAAATATGAGCCCGAGAAACTGGGCCCGAGACTGCCTCCCTCCCTCTCCAGCCTTCGGGCGACGAACTTCCGACGAACTTCCGCCACTGGATGGCGCGTGTGTGAACTGCCCCCCCCCCGCACAGTCAACAGACCTTCGCGAACATCGCTCCTCTCAACGGAGTTCGGCCACGCTCGACGCCAGTTCACCTTGACGGGTTCCGCGGACGGCGGCCCTTCGTCTCCGACTATGGGTGTATAATTGGATTTTTCGCGGAGTGCGTAGTATCACACCGTATAACACCAACTGTATTATACAACACTCAGAGGTCCACCTAACATGTTACCCTGTTAGACCCTAATGTTATCATTTGTAGATGTTACCCTGGTCCATCATCTCCTTGGCTTCGAAGATATACTCTTCATGCCGTGGATTCCCTCTGATATATCAACGCGATCAAATTCATAACCACCACCAGCCTCCTCGTAAACGGGGTTATTCTTCAAATTCAGTTTCATATCCGTTACCAAGCTTCTCACGTATCCCAAATAACATCTTTTGGCTCCCCATTTTGAGTAGTCTATCACAAAAATGAAACTTTACACATGTAGCAATCCAGCAACACTTGTGTGGACTCCATTATGGACTTTTTATTATACAATTATACAAGGTATGGTTTGGGAGTGTTGTACAATATAGTGATATAATACTATATATATAATACCGCAATGATACATACACACCCATATCTCCGATCCGACCCGCCGTGTTGTCGACCGTCGACGGGACCCGCTACCATGTACCCGCGGGTTCCTTCTACTGCGCTACCACGTCCTTCACCGCCCAGATAGGGTTCATTGGATGCCGGGAAGGTTCCCTCAGCCGAAGGGTTGAGGCCCATGTGAATCCCCCCTCCTAATGGGACAGACGATTTCTTCTGAGGGACAAGAGTAGGGTTGGAGGCACAACCTTAAAGGGCATGCCCCAGGGCGAGGGCACGGGGGCATGCCTCGTTCGCATTCTTCCATACAGGCATGCTTGTATGTATGAACAAATTAATACGTGTATCTAGAACTTTTCAACAATTGTACTTCTATAAATGTTTTATTACCGTATAAGTACATTTCTGAATATGCTAATTGTACGTATTGTAATACAGGCATGCCTGGAGGCATGGGGCATGACTTGTGACCTTGAAAGGGAGCATGGGCATGCCTCAAAATATTTTGCTGTGCCTCCAACTCTAGACAAGAGGCTCCAAGTAATAGAGCCAAAAAGGGGTGAAGTGGAGGTACTGTACTGTGGTTAAGGCTAATCACTACGGTCCATGGAATTCGGAAGTCTGTGTCGTGGCGCTGGTTGCATCATCATGACAGTTGACCCCGATTCTGCCTTTTTGGTGCCGAGTTTTGACATGTATCGCCAAACCTCAGTAAGTAACTACGGAGATTCGCGCTGCGGGATGCGGTAGGGCCCGCGGGCCCCCGGATGGGTCGTCCGTCATCGTTTCCCTGGTTAAGTGGTTCCAGTTTAAGGTTAAGGGTTAAGTCCTGTACTCGGAGCGGAGCCCTGTGGCAGTGCCCGGGCTTGATGGCTGAGCACATCAATGGACTACGAGAAACTGTGGCCGAGCGAACTGTGCGCCGTCAAATTCTAACGATGTTCTGGGCTAAAACTACTCCTTGGCTAGAAACGACAATATCCTAGCTGCCCAGGTTTTAATTGAAACATAATTCGGCAGTTTTAATCTGACCAATTATTCAGTCCGCAACTGATTGTGACTTGCCCTCCGCAGAATGGGCGAGAAGTGACCCGCGAATCATCAGCGAGCCGTCATAGTAGCCAGAATTATGATGCGCAGTTTGTCCTAATTTACATGAGTAACGTACTTTTAGGTCAATAGATACCAACTGCGGAAATCACGGGTGCGCGCTATGACATCCGTTTAATTATGAGATACGCTAATTAGACGATCATGTTAATCTTTTATGATGAGGAATCCAGGGGGTACGTCTCACACTCACAACTGCGCTCTCTTTCCTCCTTTCCGAATTCTCTTCCTTTTCCACCAGAAGATATTAGTTTACTTGAGCTATGGGACCACGCGTCGGTTTCAACCTCGTCCCCATGACGGCTACGGAGTTCCACTTCGGACGATGACTTTGACTGCGAGGTAATTGATGATGGTCTTCCCATGCCTTGTGCAAGGTTACTCGGTCCTCATTTACTCGGTTCCTTCCGTTGTTACTTCGCTTCGCCATTTTATTTCGGCGACTGTATCATCTACGGTGCAAGATCCTACAGTCCGCAAAATTCTTATTGACTTCGTAACGCAGACTCCTATGGACAGAAAAAGCCTACTGTGTTGTACGTAAGAATGTGCAGCAAACCTTGTTCGTTTCTTTTCTTGCATAGGGATCGAACAACGAAGCGAGGGATGTTTATTTTCCTGTCCCAACAGCTAAATTTGAGCTTTATAATTGCGGTGGTCGTATGGGCTAAATTGAGGCATATTGTGCTGGGATATATTATGCCATTACCATTACCATTATTCAAAGCGTCCGCAACTTTGCAGGCGAAAATTGACCCCGAAAATTTCAGGCGAAACGAGGGGGTGAACATGGAGGCTCGTGGGCAGGCAGTTCATTGATGGCGCAGACGGGCTATGGAGGGAAAAGCCGTGTCATGTGCAGGCTCCAGTCGATGTTTCTCAGGGCATCGGACAGTTTAATGGGAAGCTGTGGTGTTTAGAAAGTGGAATTAATTTCCTGGAGCTCTTGTGCATCAAATGAAATCGAGTTCCTAGCTTTCGGGCGATTCGTAATCGATAACGTGTCAGCACGATAACAAAAGTATGTCAGTTTTGGAAGGTCGAACACAGGGATTGTGTTCGATACGAGGGTGGGGCGGGGAAGGGGGTGGGGGGAGGAGGAGGGGCGGGTGCTAACCAACATCAATACATGGACATTAGCTTGGCATGGGGCGCAAACCTCGCCCGATTTCTCTCAAAGCGAAGTGCATGAGAGGAGAGATGTTTTGGGCTCCCACAATCCGACAGCGGAATAGGTATCGCGCGAGAGCGTAGTGGCACCAGTCCACTGTGCCACCTCGAGGAACCACGATGCAAGACACGACCTGCGGAATTCGCCACCCGAGAGGGCATGAATCATTGACCCCTTTGTCTCTTCCCGATCGCTGCAGCTTGATTTGGCTGCGTCCACCTTATCTGCCCTCGATTTTTCTCGGAGCGTTCCTTATGCCAGGCTGTGGGTGGTCTTCGTCCTGCACAGCTCAGGAGCCAGAAAGGTGTCTTTACCAAATCTGGCAGCAATTTCCCCACACCTACGACCCTAAACGCAGAATCATGCAGCAGCCCCCTCGAGCAACCCCCTGTCATGCAACGCCGCTGGCAGTGAAGCCAACACTATGCGTCCTGCCCGCTGCCGATTTGGAAGGAGAAAGAAACACCACTTGACCAGTGCCCATGGCATTGAAGCATTGAAGCCTGTCAGGACATCATCAAAGAGCGAAGGCGGGCCGCAGCTGTTCCCAGCTCGCTGAGTGGCGAGAAGAAGCCCTGAAGAAAAGAGCTCGCCGAGCGAGAGGCCAGGCCCTGGGGGCTGCTCTGTCAGCCCTGCCTGCGGCGCTTTGACCTGTCAGTGCCGACAGTCCGACTCGCCGTCTCTGCACCACTGCCGATCGCCGGTTCTGTTCCACGGCCACGGCTGCGCTCCCGCGCCCCAGACCTCCAGATTTAGCCTCCCCTCGACAACTCACCGGCGCTCGCCAGCTCAGTGTCTCCCAGATTCCCGAATCTCCACCTCCGTCCCGGCGGGAGGCGTCCCGTCGACCTTCTACCGTCCGCTGACTCCGATCGCCGGTGAGTTATTCGGTGGGGTGTCAAACTTGCGGTCCGCAGTGACGAAGCGGGATTCAAAAAGATTGTGGATATGGATTCCTGATTCTCTACATACATCGGGGGGATTTCAATTTCCCCGGGTGCCCAGGCGAAAGCGTAATAAAATATCAAGCGCCTTGTAAATAAATTATATATACGGAATAATTGGTGACCGAACGGAGAGAGTGATTATGGCCGTCGAGCGAACCGCAGGGCCGGTTAGTGTATCGGGGGGTGGGTTAGAATGTGCCCGGACACGCGATAGAGCGATCGAGATTTGCCCCGTCAAGGGTCGGAGAAAAGGGTGCCACGCACGCACGCGCACCCAAATGGGGCTGGAATGGCATCCATGATGCGCGCGTATGGAGATGGGCCGGCGTGCTGGCGAGAGAGCCCATGGACGGACATGACGCTCGCGACCCTCTTCCTCTTCGGGCTCGCCAAGTGCGCTCGCGCCCTTCCGCCAAGTGTTCTCTACCGTAAAGCAAGTAGGGTTTCGACGCCCTGCAAAAAAAAGTTCGCGACCGGGGCGACCGAAAAGGCGAGCCGTACTGGACCCCGAGGTTGATTATTTAGCAAGCTGTCTCTATTAAAGCTTTTACCACCTTTACTGCCTTTACATCCAAGATTCTTTACCGTCTGCGGTACCACCAACGGCACCCGGACGGATTCCCCCCACCCGCTCCCCCTCCTGCCACGTGAGCGCGCGCTCGCCGTGCGATTCGGATTTCGGTCAGACGGTCGCATCTGCCGTGGCATGCCCGTCCGTCGTCCTCCAGAAAGGCCCCCCCAACGGTAAGAAGAGCCCGTTTTCGAAATGGCGCAGAAGATCAGATTTATGAGATAAGAAAACGGGGCGATCGAAGTCGACAGGTCCTGGCCAATGAAAGCGACGGGTGCGTTCTCTGCTACCCCTAGTCTCATCTTTGAATTTTGCCATCCGCCCCTGTCCTCCTGTCCTGCTTTCCGTTTCCGGACATGCCGATGAATCTCTCGACACTGACTGTGGCCGCCTTCCTGCCTGCCTGCCTGCCTTTTTTCTTCTTTCATCTTTCTTCTGTAGACTACTTCAGATGAAATTTTCCCGCTTTCATTCCTTCCACAGAAGTAG